GGCACTTTTTTGCCCCCCCCCCCCCGTATCTCCGAAACTACTGGACGGATCCGGAAAATTCAAACGGCGTTCGATAGCCCTGTCAAATTTGTCGAAGGAAACCAAATTTCATTGACCTCGGGGTCACCGATGACGTCACAGGTCAGGTCAAAGATAAAAGGTTTCACCGTTCACAGGGCTTCTAGGGAAAGCGCTATAACACCGAGTAAAACGAATTTTGTCGAAAATCAGCGATAAGGCGTCAGTTGTCTAGTACATATGTTGCTATTAGAGGTCACTGGTCATACCAGGTCAGGTCACAGGTCAGGTCACCAAAGGTCACCAAGGGTCACCACATGAGCCCAACTTTACTAAGGTTATGTGATGCATGTTTTATGGTCAGTTTTTCATTTCCAACTCAATGGTGTTGGTTATAAGACCATCAGGTACGGTTTAGGTCACTTTCTGGTGGAGGTCAGGTCAAGGTCAGGTCAAAAAAGGTCAAATTTCAAAGTTGATATTTTTGCATAAAATGGGTATCGATTCGATGCAGCTCGTCACGGGGAGTCTAATGGTGGTCTTTGTTTTGCGCTACGAGGTCTAGAATTGCTAAAAATTGAGTTCGAAAATTTGACGTCATCAATTTTGAACAGTTTTTTCGCTATAACTTGGCCAAAAAACGAGGTATCGATCTCAAATTTGGTATGTAGATAGAAAGCGGTAGGGACTATCACATATATTCCGGTTTTTCGAAATTCAAAAAACTTTTTGGATTTTTTGTCTATTATATTCAAAAAATATATTTTTTGATTTTTGGGGGTCAAAATTCAAAAAATTCGAAAAACCGAAATAGCAGTTTTGTAGCCCTTTTGATTCCACACCTTTTATGTCTAAAACATTTTTCTGTATCTCTAAAGCTGTAGGCCTGACAGCTCTTCCCGCGAAACCTTTTTTTGGGTCGAAAATGGCAAAAATGACGTCACTCTTACGTCATTAGCGGCCAACCTATCATAGCCTTTGGAAAAATTTTTGGTCACCATGTGCGCTAGCTGCTCCCGGGAGGGTACTGAAAGTTTGGTGACGATCGGCGCAGCGGTTCTCGAGATATATTGAAAAAAGTAAAGGGGGGGGGGCAAAAAAATGCCCCCCCCCCCACCGCCTGGAAGGTTAACCCTATTCCTGGCGGGCTCCGCCGGGACAAGAAACTGGCGGGGGGGCCGATTCGGCCCCCCCCCCTGAGATCTCGAGAACGAAGCAAGATAGCGACAAGCGGTAAACGGCATCGGATACGCATGGACAAGGTCTACAATTTTTACTAAGGTCATTTTCAGGTCAGGTCAAAGATGACGTCACAGGGGTCGAAAAAGTCAAAATGGCGGCGCTAGATATGGAGAGTTTTTCTCGAATAACTTTCGAATTAGTCAAGATAGGAACAAACTAAGGGCATCATCGTGATCCTCTCGTCAATCCGCATCGAATGATATATATATGTTGACCTCGAAAGGTCAAGGTCAAAGGTTGACCTCAGGTCACGTGACCTCGAGGTCATCATGTATATCATTCGATGCGTCTTGACAAGCTGAACACAATGAGACCATCCACGCGTCTGTATCTTGTTCCTGTACGGAGTTATTGGCCAAAAACCTTTGGTGACCTTTGATGACGTCACACGACCTCACAGCTGCCTTACAGCAAAACAGACCTCAAGGTAGTGAAGGTTGATCGTATATGAAGTCATGTATGGTATATGGGGCCATTCCGACCCGTTTTAGTGGTAAAAACAGGGAGTTGATTTTTCCCCCATTGACTTATAATGGGGAGGTCGCGAAATTGACCTGACCTTAGGTCACCGATATCAAAATTCCGAGATATACAAATTGCACATACTGGTACCCTAACTAAAGCCTGAAGAGAAGAAATTGATCGGTCAAAAACTCTAGCTCTGGCGTGATTGCAAACTTTTCTGAGGTAGGGTCACCAAACCGCCTCTGGTGACCTGACCTGAGGTCAGATCAATTCAAAATTTTCAGACATGTTGCGTAGAAGCCTTATAGGAAAAGTCAGAAAATTTGAGCTTCCTAGCTCAACGCGTTTGGGAGAAATAACCAAAAAACCTCAGGGGGGCTCCTGAGCCCCCCCCCCCCCCGCCAGGAATAGGGTTAAGGCATTTCTCGATGTTGTGAGTGCCGAAACCGGTAATTGTGAGCCAGGGACCCCATTTTGGCTATCTCAACTCAAATCTAATGTTAAGGTGGGAGGGTCCCTTTAAGCTTACGAGTAGATAAATGATAGGAGGGCAGCGATCAACGGAGGTCGCCAATAGGTAGATGGGCTGTGATCGGCAGGATAGTGCCAATGGTTGAGAGGGCGGAGATCATCAGGAGAGCGCTAAATATATAGTAGGGCCCCCGATCAACATTAAACAGGAGGTCGCCAAAAGGTAGGAGAGCCCCGATCAACATTCGACAGGAAGGCACCAATAGGTAGGCTTGGGTTGCGAACATCGGGAGGGCGCCAATGGGTAGAAGGGCGGCGAATGACAGGAAAACAGAAACACCAATAGTTAGAGGGCGTTTTTCCCAAGACGGTGATATTAAATAGGACGTCGTCTGTGAGGAGGAAGGACACCGATCAACAGGAGGGCGCTTGTGATCAGAAGGGCGGTGATCAACAAGACGGCGCCAATAGGTAGGAGGATGGCTATCAAGAAAAGGACGCCAATGTGTGGAAGGACGGCAATCAACATGAAGGCGCCAAAGGGTAGGAGAGCCCCGATCAACATTCACCAGGATAGCACTAATAGTAGTAGGTTGGCGAGCAGCAGGAGGGCGCCAATATATGTAGGAGGCCGTTTACTAAGAAGTGGGCGCCAATAGGTAGGATGACCACGTCATCCTACCTATTGGCGCCACGTCATCAACATTCAACAGGAGGGCGCCAGTATGTAGGAGGGCCCCGAACAACGTGAGGGCGTCACCGTCAATGATCAGAAGGGCGATGACCAGCAAGAGGACGCCAATAGATACGAGGATGGCAGAAGGTCGGGACACCGATACCAAACCAAATACCAACAATGATCATGTGAAAATACAGAAACCGAACCGACATGGGAATATGAGGAAAATACCAACTTTTTACCAAATTCACAACCTCTTTTTTCATTAGTGAGGATTCATGGTACCAACAAAATACCAAATAAATTAGCCTTGAAATATCAAATACAAAGATGGTATCGGTTTGGTATCGGTATACCAAAAAGTTGGTATCCGATTGACATATCTAACATGGAGGGCCTCCCATGTGCACGGGGGCCTCCTGCATACGTTTAGTTCCTCCTCTGTACTCGGAAGGGCCTCCTCTGTACACTACGCGCCTCCCGTGTACGTGGAGGGCCTCCTATGTGCAAGGGGCCTCCTTCGTATCCGTCACGCCTCCGCTTTAGATGGAGGGCCTCCCTGTGCACGTGGGCCTCCTGCGTACCTACGTTTCGTTTCTCCTCCGTTCAGGGGCCTCCTCTGTACTCGGAAGCGCCTCCTCTATATACTACGCGCCTTGAAGCCTTCTCTGTGCATGGAGGGCCTCCCATGTGGACTTTTTTGTCCTCCCAGCTAGCCGTGAGGCTATAGCCGAGGTCCCATGTGGACGTGAGCCTCTTCTGTATCCGACACGCTTCCGCTTTAGATAGAGGGTCTCCCATGTGCACGGGGGCCTCCTGCGTACGTTTAGTTCCTCATCCGTTCAGGGGGCCTCCTATGTACTCGGAAGGGCCTCCTCTGTATACTACGCGCCTCCTCTGTACATGGAGGGCCTCCCATGTGTAAGGGGCCTCCTTTGTATCCGACACTCCTCCGCTTTAGATGGAGGGCCTCCCTGTGCACGTGGGCCTCCTGCGTACCTACGTTTCGTTTCTCCTCCGTTCAGACTTCAGGGGGCCTCCTTCGTACTCGGAAGGGCCTCCTCTGTATACTACGGTTTGTCTATGTGTATGGAGGGCCTCCCATGTGCACGGGGGCCTCCTGCGCACGATTAGTTCCTCATCTGTTCAGGGGGCCTCCTCTGTGCTAGGAAGGGCCTCCTCTGTACACGTAGGACCTCCCATTTGCACAGGGGCCTCCTACGTACACATAAATCCTCCTCCGTTTCTGGGAGGGCCTCTCTTTGCAGGGACTGGGAAGTGGGAGGGTCTTCTGTCACGACAGAGCCTCATCTTAACATTGCAAAGTGACCCTGAGGGAACCTTCTTTTGCATGAAAGTGCCATTTTTTGCACGGAAGCCTTTAGCCTCTTTCAAGCATGGCTGGCCCTAAAAAACGGAATAGAGGGCCTGCGGCCCTCTATTCCGAGCAAAGGGCCTCCACCCAGAACAGGGTGGGCAAAAAGATAGTTTTGCCCACCCTGAGATTTTTCAGGATGGGCATCTGCCCACCCTGCCCCCCGGAATCCGCCGCCCCTGCAGGGAGCACCACAGCCAGGGGCACCACAGGCCTGCCAGGGCTCAGGGGCACCAAGACACTGACCAAAAATAAATATAAAGAAACTGAAAAAGGGCACAAGATTTATGTGGCCGAAATCCGTTGTTTTTAATTGTGAGTATAGGTAGGGGCACCACTTTGATTCATGACCCTCTCCCTGGAGTTTTCCTGGATCCGCCCCTGATCGCACGGCGTTTAACATAGCGGCACCTCATCGGTGTTAAACACTTTTTAAAAATAGTATTCAAATCTCCAAAATAATGTGCGCTAACCATTTTCTCACTACTCCAGGCAGTAATTATCCTGCCGAAGTATAATAGCTCAGTCAACCATATCTAGCCATATTCCAACCACATAGCACTCATCTGTTTCTTTACACGTCACAATATCTGAACATATCCCATTAGTGAGAGCTCTCACTTCTCTTATTACTGGCCACCATATATCACCACATCCCAATAAAATATCTCCCCCTCATATCCCCAGCCACATCTGACATCCATGTTCACAGTCCACACGTCCCATCATATCCCACCAACTTCCCCTCACCTCTCTGTTGTCGCAGGCCACCATGTCTCCATAGGAGACGTTCTGGCAGACGCAGTAGCGCGGCTCGTTGGCGTCGTATAGCCACGGCTCCTCGGCGTTCGGGTCGATGATCATGTCGCCCACCAGCTCGTCCGACGGGGTCGGGGACGTCGGTACCGGCGCCGGCGGAGGGGCCGGAGGAGCCGTCGACTTCCTGAGAGCGGGGTCAGAGCGCCAGGGGTCAGATGTGTGGGATAGTATGGGTGGAGGGTGTGTAGATTCAATATAACATCGATCGGCCTGAAATTGAATGGTACTTAAGTGTGGAAGCTATAGCAGGAAGGAGAGCTCAGTTGTAGCTGAGTGAGTGAGGCGTTGAAATAGGAAGGAAACGGTCAAATGCATGGGCCACGGAGAGGGAAAACACGCAGAAATATTTACAATATTTTGAAACAATTACAACCTAAGCAACAAATGAGCAACAAATCAAGTAAAAACTACCAGAAACATGCACATCAAAAAGCTTCGGCGTAATATGTCAGCAGATATATAAAAACAGCATGAAAATCATGTCACCACATCCTGTCCATCCCTTCCCACTCCCATTCCGTCTCTCCCTCCCCCTCTCCAGCTTCACGTACTTTCGTTTCCTATCCGTTCCCACGAGTCCGGAGGAGGCGAGGGCGGTGTGCGCGGCGCCGGCCAGCTCCCTGGCCAGCGGAAACTCGCCGGACGCGCCGCCGCTGCCCGCCGAGATGGCGTCGTAGCTGGCCTTCATGCTGGACGTCCTCCGGCCCTGCTGCATCTGAGGGAGGGGAGGCGCGGGGAGTGAGGGAGGGGAGGACACGTACCACGGGAAGGCGACACATTGGTAATGTATGGCAATCATGCTTTAATTGGGTGATAAGTAACTGAGGCAGTAAAAGTAAGCATATTTCCATGGAATAAAATATTGGTGTCGAAAGTTAGTGAATCATAAAATTTCAACAGGCTTCCAGTAAGAACAGCCCGATAGCCTCCACGTCTGTCCAGCTCCCAAGCTGGTGACCCCTACCCCCCCTCCCCCGGTCCAAAGTACCGCCCCGCATCACTCACGTGCTGTGTGGCCGCGATGGCCTGCGAGGCGGCCGCCGCCAGCGCGTTGTTGCTGCCCACGCCCATGCTGCCCATGTAGGAGACGGCCGGGTAGGCGGCGCCGGCCACTGACGCCGGCGCCACGGCGGCCGGCTGGCGGGCCTCGGCGTGGTGCCGGTCGGCCGCCCGGTCAGCCTCGCGGCGCACCGCCTGCTGCGCGGTCAGCACCGCCTTCCGCTCTGGCGGGGAGCACGGCAGTCAGTCACGTGGGGTGGGGGGGGGGGAAATCATGCTAAGTGGGGTGGTGTACGTACAAGAATCCAACATCGGATCACGTGGACTGCCGTAGGTTAATGTAATCGGACCAAGTGGAGTGAATCATGAGGTGACCATACAAAGCGAGTCATGTGAATTGGTTATTAGGGGATCATTCATTCATTCATTCTTCCATTCAATGATTTTCGCATTTTCATTCATTCGTTCATTGATTTTTTCGCGTCTTCATTCATTCATTCATTCATTCATTCATTCATGCATGCCATTAATTCATTCATTCATTCATTCACTCCCTCACCGTGTGAATGCCTGCTGAGCCCGCTGCGGCCCGAGTAGCGGTTCTCCTTTTGGCTCTCAGCGCCCGTGACGTCCAGCTCCAAAGACCTCCGCTCGAGCAGCTCGGTGATGCCGGCGTTGTCGGCCTCCAGTTCCATTTTGAACTTGTGCAGCTCCTGGTCGAGCCGGCGCAGGTGCCGGTCCACCAGGTCGTACATCTGGTGCGCGATCTGCACCTTCTCGTCTGCCGAGCCAACGATGGATCCCACCGTCAGTAAGAAGGAAGATTGTTCAATCATTCTGTGCGCTGGCTTAATTCCCAGTGAATTAAAATGGACTTTTCCCAGTTATCTAGCGTAAAAATGGTACCAACGTCCCGCTCCAGTTCATAGCCTCCAATCTTGCCCTCGGTCGCAACTTCAGAATCAAACCCAGTACCCACACGCGAATCTCAGCACACAATGTTTACACTACGCCTCTGCTGTCCCCTACCAAACACCAGCGCTCGGCCCTTCTGCCCTCCCCGGTCGGCTCACCGGAGTCGTCCAGCGTTTTGTAGTAGTCTCGTTTAATGGACTCGTACTCTTGTTCCCGCTCGGCCGGCTTCAGCTTCTTAGCGCTGCCGAAGAACGTCTTGACACGTTCCTCCAGATTGTCAGTGGTGTCTGCCGGGGAGGGTCGAGGGGTCGCCGTCACCCCAGGGCACTAACCGAGGGGTGGGAGTGCTGATAACAATGACATTTTACTGCATCGCTCGAGACTACTGGTGCGCTCCAAGTGCCAAATGATGGCAACGAGCTCTGCAAGGCTAACAACAATAATCGGAATTGTTACGTGTTAAAAGAAAAATAAATTTCCTACCTTGCAGCCCAGTGAGAGCCTTTCGTCTCATTCACACGCACCTAGTGAGCGCCAGTCACCTCACCGCAGAGACGACCAGTTGTATCCATATTCAGAGGCGACACTCGCTCACCCCACATCACGCCGAGGCCCGGCCGCGAGTTACCTAAGTGTGGAACTACAAGTCGATTCTAGGGCTCTGATTGGTGACTTTGGTCGGGGGATGACGCTTATAGCATGACGTCACTCGCGTACTTGGCCGGACCAACGGCGCGGCGCAGGCGCGCCGAGCCAACCCAGAGGCTCTCAAACTCAATTGCACAGATCCTGCGCATTGAATGGCGAAACTTCGGCGAGTTCGCTTGAGTTTGGAAGCCCCTGCCAGAGAACTGGAGACGGCCGGATTATTTGCTGGACAGTGGGCAGCGCAGATGGCGATTGACGGTGCCAAAAAGATGATAGGGAAAAAGGGGTTGAGACTTGAGCAGTGAATTATAAGCCTGTTGCATAGCTGAGTGGTAAAATGTAAAATGCTTAAGGTTTGAAGAGATGCAGTGTAGTATAGCCGACTCAGGGGCATTCTGCCGAGTTCTGTAAGGCGGAAGGGTCGCAACTCGCAAGTCGTTTGTTTACATGATTGCCTGATTAAAATGTAAAGCGTACCTAATGTTTAGTTGATAATACAGCGAGGTTGGGCATCTGCTCAATCCATTTCTTCTCTGCAATAGTGCATTCGCCACTGTAATTCATTGTAAGAGGCACTGGGCTGCGCCGCCTGTTAATTATTCCGAAACCACCAGTGAATTGTCACAGTCACTCACAACAATACGAATCGTTCAGTCGTGCGCTGGGGGTCCGCCAAATTTAATTGTGCTGCAGAATGCAGACTGGACCGCCGAGAATATAACACTTCCGTCTCCCTGGGCGAGCGGCGCATTGGAGCCGAAGGAAACTGCTTCAGTTTTTTTTTTGTGGGGAGGATACCCATGTTTGAAAATTATGTTATGGAATGGTGTGATAAGGAAAAGGACGGTTTCTTGAATTGAGGGCTGTGGAGAAGAGGCAGATTTTCTCATTTGCTACCCGATGCAACGCGAAAAGACGCAAATGTTGCACATTGGGCTTAATAAGTCTAATAAAAGATAAGGGACTTCGTGAATCATGCCTAATTGACCGCGACCAAGTTATTTGCCAATGCAGGTAGGCACTAGGTAGGTAGATACTCATTTGTGAACAGAACGTTCCACCACCCCTCGCCAGAAATTCAATCAGCAGTTGCTTATTAAAACGTTTGAGTGCACCTGACAACCTTTAAAAATGACGTCCTCCCTTTCAATGGTTCGTGCGAAGACACAAAGCCAGAATCAGCCAAGCAATATCGGAATCCATTGCGCAGTGTGTCGACTGTCGGATGTGCCCATCCACATAGCATAGCACACACTGCTAAATGCAGATACGCTCACCTATACATTAGGTATTCGAAGGACTTGATAGCTCATACACATGGAAGAAACGCATGAAATGTGATTAATAGCTGCAGCAGAAGTTTGGCGTCCGATGCCTCTTCGCCAAGTTAAGACCATGCCAATCTCGGCCAGTCTGCCGCCGCGCCGGCACTGGCCGTGGTGTGACGTCATCCGGCCGGCTCGGCGCTGGGTAGTTCCACACTTAGGTAACTCGCGGCCCGGCCCCTCTCCAGTCTCCAGCCAAACTCACTGTGAACCTGCAAGTCGATCTCACGCATCTCGGTGAAGCTGTCCCGCAGCTCCCGTGGCAGGTGCTCGATCACTGGGGAGTAGAGACAGACCGCCCACTGTCAGGCGTGGTTACACAGTGGATATGTTCTACGTTGGAAGTCGGCTTAAAGTGCTAACCGTGGTGGATATCGATTAGTCAAGCTGCGATGTTGACGATATCCGTATTAACATAATCTTTAAAATTTAGATGTTACAAAATAATATTTTAATGCGAACTATCAACTACTAAGGGTTTCTCAGCGTCGAATTCAATGTCTGAGGCCTGTGCTTACTTTCAATATAATCTTCCAGGTACAACATGTTGAGCAGGTGTGCAGCAGTTTTCCCAGTATCCTAAGTTGAACCTGAAAAGAAGGCATATCGATAATTAAATGTCAAACATAGGTCTTAACCGTTGCTCATATTGACATAGGTGGAGGATTGTGCTGTTCTATGGGTACTCGGGCGCAACAAATCCGTCGCACGCGGCCGCCTCCCTAGCGGTGACCCTGACCTCCGCCGTCTGTTGCGGCTCTAAAGTCTAAAGGCAAGCCGGCGTAAAATTTGGAGAGGTCGAGCACCCATAGTCCTCCACCTATGCATATTAGTCGATCCTCCTTAAAGTGACCGTCCCACCTTAACATTAGTTTTGAGTTGAGATAGCCAAATTGGTGGCCATGGCCTGAAAATACCGGTTTGGGCTCTCACAACATCGAAAAATGCTTTAATTCGGAGATATGGAATTTCAAACTTGCAGTTTTCAGATTCTAAGGGCATTGGGATGCCCCCTTAGAATTTGTGACGTCAGCGGAGATGTAACGATTATTAAATCTTTAACTAAAACGTTTGGTAGCACGCGGTGGTATATGCTGCTTTGCGCGCAACAAATGCCGCACTTTCAAATAAAGTCGCTAGGAACAGCGGAGATCCCAAAAAGTAAACATAAGTAAAAGTCTGATATCTTGAAAACCGATGAATATTTTTTGATGAAATTTGGTAGATATTCGTTTTCACTCTTTCTGAACCGAGCGACATCACTTTCATGACAATTCATTAACTTTTTTGAAGGTGGGAGGGTCCCTTTAATCCTTCGGCTGCACAGTGGATGCAGTTGGAACGACAGCTGATCGCATTTAGCGCCTTCTGAATAGAAGGGCCCCTGAAAAACGAGCGCGTTGCTCTCCACGAAAGAAAGAAAACGGTAGCCACTTTCAACCCTGCCAGTCAAGGAAGAGCTAAATGTTCGAGGCTTCAGGCCACTACACGCTGTTTTGCAATTACTAGAAACGTGTTGGAATGAATAGCTGAAAGTTTGCACATCTGACCTTTGATTTACGACCTTAAACAAAAGCCACTTTTTCAAGTCAGGTCATTGACCTGGGACGTAATGAGTAAACCTCTACAGTCTACACGGTCTTCTCTGGCACCCTAGCTAAAATCAAATTAGCATTTCATAAGGCGGCTCTGACATTTTGGGTGCATGGGCCAGGGACAGGTGTAAAATACTCATTTATCTATTGTTCCATGCCAGATAAAAGTATGTTTATGTATGTCGTGTAAAGGATAAGTGTGAATCAAACCAGGAGTTTGGTTTCCTTTTTACGTTAATCCGCGCATGACTGCCGTCTATTCCAAAGCGCGAATGACGGGTTTAGCTTTACAGAGCCCCTACCCCCTTCCTATCTCCGAAACTAGGTACTGGTCCGATTGTCAAAATTCAAACGGCATTTGTTAGCCCTGGAAATACTAACGAGGTCCCAGTGCATGTCCTGCTGTCCTTAGGGGCAGTTGTGTACCCAGAGAACTGACGTGTCTCGGCATCTTGGGTTTTTCTTCCCCAACCTGACTATCCCTGATCAAATTTTACTGAGACTAAGGCCACATTTGATGTCTCCCGGACGACGTAGAACCTTTGTCGTCCGGGAGACACCGAACCCGGCCTTAGGGAACCCAACCAGGTAAGGTTACCATTTAAGAGCAAAATATGTTTACTTTCAACAAATGTTTAACATATTGGCTCATAACTTTTTATTGGTGCAAATATTTGGCTGAAACTTCAACCAAATCATTTTGAACCTGAAAGTACAAAACTGCCTGGTTTCTTGCCTAAAGCCTAATTGTAACATGAAATATCAGCAAAAAAAGACTGCCTGATCTAAGTAACTAAAAAAAAATGCATGATGCAGTGTGATTTATGCCTCGTTCATGGATTAGGCCTTCCTGGATAGGACACTCCGCCGATTTTCCGACCACCCAATCTAACGACGGCCAGGGCGCCGGCGCCTTTTTAGCATTGCGCGCTACTGGTGGAGCGCGCCTTGTATATTTTTGAGATGTATTGCTTATTTGTTATTGATCTTGATGAAAAGTCCTGTAATTCTGGTTAAATATCAAGTGAGGAATCTCTTGAAAATATTTTCTAAGTTTTAGTTTAATAAATTGCTTAAATCATGCTGACAAGTGAGGGTTCGTGATTACAGACGGTGAGCAAATGTTAAGAATCAAGTGAATTTGTAAGCGATAATAGCCGTTTTCACGATGGCCATCTAGTACACATTTGGTGCACATTTGGTGCAGATTAGGTGCAGACTTGGTCGAATTAGGTTCAGTGTACCTCTCAATAGCTATCAGGCATCAGCTAGGGTTACGCTAATTGCTTATATGCCTGCTTTGCCATATCATCAGAGAGTATCATCGATTAACCCCCGCCCCACTGGGGGGGGGGGCTATTCATAGCCCCCCCCCCCTCCAGTTTTTCTGCAATAACTTCTAAACCGCTTGACGTATCGACGCCAAACTTTCAGTACCTTAGGCTGCATCAATTTGACACCTTGTGTCAAAATTTGAACTTCTAACTACCATAGGTCGGCCGGAAATGACGTCAGAGTGACGTCATGTTCGGCCGATTTCGACGCAAAACATTGAACCACGGCAATCGCTCCCAACCCAGTAAACATGCCGACGTCGGCCCGACGTCGGCCGACGTCGGGGTGACGTCGGCAACTCGGCATCGGCATGTCGACGTCGGCCCGACGTCGGTCCAACCTCGGCACGACGTCGGCTGGATGTCGGATATGCCCGCATGTACCGACGTCCAGCCGAGTTCCAGCCGACGTCGGGCCGACGTCGGACCGAGATCAATTGCTGAGGTTCAGCCGACGTCGGGCCGACGTCGGGGCGACGTCGGACCGACATCGGCCGCTGTTTTGACCGTTAACCCTCGCATGTGTGCGGCGTTTGCCAGCTTCTAATGTGTAGGGGGGGGGGGGGGTCGGTTGGACCCCCCCCCCCTTGCCGTTTGGCCCCTGATCGAGCTAGAGCTTCGCGGAAAAAACGAGCGTGTTGCCCGTGACGACAGGAAGCCGATGATACCCAATTTTAAGGTCCTAGGTCATTGGTTGACCTTCCAGGTCAGGTCAATGACCCAAAGTCGGGAAAATCGGGACCTGTTAGAAAGTCGTAAAGTGTGGCTGCTAAGGGGTTTTTCGGGGTGCTGATCACGAACATCGTGTTAGTTTTGATCACAGATGATGTCTTGAAGCATTTAGACCAGGTCGGGTCAGGTCAGGTCAGGTCAACCAGTAGGCGTCGTGACGGGTATTCGTAGTACGTGTCAACCGCCTCTGACAGCTTCGTAACATGTTACGAAGTCACCAAAACTACTTCGTAAATGTTCAAATGGTTGCTAAATTCGAATTCAGCTCCAAAAACTAGCCTAGAGACATGTAAAACTCGAAAAAGTGACCCGAGGTCACCCGAGGTCACCAAAGGTCAATGACCTGACCTGACCTTCAGGTGACCTTGACACACACGGGAGTAACATCAAATCACATGTTTGAACGTTTGAAACCACGAAAAGCTTGCAAACACGCGGCTAGTGCGAGCCGACATACGCGAAATCGCGATTCCGGCCAAACATGGTCTCGGAAAAGAGGTCACAGGTCAAAGGTCATTTGGGTCAGGGTCATGAAATTTCCAGGGTAGGTGTAAAATTGATCAATGCGAGGGTACTGAAAGTTTCGTCGCGATCGGCCGCTTTTTACGCGAGTTATTCGCGAAAAAACATGGGGGGGGCATCCGACCCCCCCCCCTACACATGCGAGGGTTAAAATAATATAAATTACATGTTTCATGTTTCATAAAGAGCTTCTGTATTCAAAATATCCTCAGGAAACTCAAATCTTCCTCCACGCCGCAACCCCCTGATCCGGACTGGACGGGAAACTTTATCCCATTTGGGATTGCCCGTAAGCCGAGCTCGCCCGTAGCCGGGTGCGGTGAGTGCTTGGGGGCTGCTCGGCCTATCCTTTGGTCAGGCTCAGCCCCGGCAACTCACCAGGGCCGGGCCCAGTTCATATAGAAAGACCAGTCGGCAAGTGTCACTTTGCCAAAGTGTCACTTATCAAAGGGACACTTTGGGAAACGTTGGTGCCGGTGTGTAAGAGTGGCTATATGAATCCATTGTGGGGTCGCCCTTTCCAATAAGTGTCACGTAACAGCAATGGGACCAGGGACTCTATGGGGCATTCCACGATAGATCGACCAAGGCCTAACACCCGACCATTTTTGATTTTGATGAAATCTTGTCTATAGGGTTCTCTTATGCCCTGAAGTCAATGGTGACAACGCCAGGCCCCTACGGTCAGCGGTTTAGGAGATATAGCCCCGGGCATTTTGACGAGGTCACTCTGCAGAGTGATTTTTGAGGTGCTATATCTCCTAAAGTAATGAAGGAAATGCATTAAACCTGTACATCGTTGTGATGGCGGTGAAATGAGCAATTTATTGGCTATCTCGGATTTCCAAAAAAGTTATTTTGATTTTTAGCTGTGACGTCATCAATTTTTAAATTTTCTGGCTACCCCCCTAGTACATTAAAATTTGTCATTATTTTTGCTCAGAAATATAGATCGGTCAATGTTCTTTTGACTGTCAAAAAATAAAAATGGTAATCTTTCTATAAATATTTTATTTTATTTTTTGAAAACAACTCTGTAATATGAAATTTGCATACATTTGCTCTGAAACGACAAATAGGTGCAGCTGGCACGGACAGTGGAAGGACTGGATTTATAAAACATCTAAATAATATTTTCTTGAATATTTTTCGCAACTGGAACAAAGCGTAAGATATTTTAATCTAACCCTCGCCGGCCGAGGGGGGGGCGGGTGCCGCCCCCCCCCCCCCATAGGGTTTTTTCGCGATAGCTCCGAACACGCCGGCGGTAGAGAGCTGAAACTTGGCATACCTGACCTTTGATCCAAGCCGCATCTTTTGACACCAACCGCATTTTTGGGTCAGGTCAGGTCATTGACCTATGACGTCATAAGTGAACCTCTGCACGGTCTTCAGATGTCGCAACTTCGCAACGCCCTCACTGCCAGAGGAGATGTCACAGGGAAATGAAACTTGCAGGATCTAGTATCCATTATGAGTCTCACAACTTGTATATCTCGGATTTTTCCTAAAGGTCATATGAGGTCAGGTCATTTTCGTGACCTCACCATTATAAGTCAATGGGGAAAAATGAAAACTGCTATTCTGGCGCCGGGAACGATCTCCAACTATCTCAAGCACACAGAATCGTGATTTGATGCACTCCTTGCAAGGTTAGATGCGTCACTTTTGCAATGTTGACCTTTCGTGACGTCATTTATGACGTCATCAAGGTCATATTAGTTTTTCGTCAATAACTCTTGATCAAATTGAGCTAGCGAGCCGGGAAAGCCACCAATGGACTCAGGAAGACCTGCCAAATCGAATGATATGCGACATGACCCCTTTAGACCAGCTTCGTGACCTTAGGGTGCTGACCTGACCTTGACCTGAGGTCAACACCCCAAGTTGACCTGACCCGAACAAAAAGTATATCATTCGACGCGCCTGAGCGAGGCGAACACGATGCTGCCAAAATCGCGGCTCTGCGGCCATTTTCCGCGAAGTTATTCATCAAAAACTGAACCGTACCTTTGGGCACTTGACCTGACCTCAGAGGTCACCGGTTGACCTAGGACCTTAAAATCGGGTACCAATCTCTGCGTCTCGTAACGGCGCACACGCTCGTTTTTTCCGCGACGCGCTAGCTCCACCAGGGGCGAAACGGCGAGGGGGGGGGTCGTACCCGCCCCCCCCCCCTCGGCCGGGGCGTATGTAGAAAACCAATAGGTCCGGCGAGGGTTAACATTCTGTATTTCCCTACATATATGCCGAAACCCAGATAACCTCTTTTTGGAAGTAACTGGTCCTCGCAGATGTGTCTTATATTGCTTAATAACCCGATTCTGTAAATCAGAGTTTGTAGTGCGATTTTCAAAAAATAAAATAAAATATTTGTAGAAAGATTACCATTTTTGTTTTTTCCAGTCGAAAGGAAATTGACGGAACTTTATTTCTGAGCAAAAATAATGGCAAATTTTAATGTACTAGGGGGGTAGCCAGAAAGTTTAAAAATTGATGACGTCACAGCTAAAAATCAAAATCATTTTTTTGAAAATCCGAGATGGCCAATTAATTGCCCATTTCACCACGATCACAACGATGCAAAGGTTTAATGCATTTCCTTCATTCCTTTAGGAGATATAGCACTTCAAAAATCACTCTGCAGAGTGACCTCGTCAAAATGCCCGGGGCTATATCTCCTAAACCGCTGACCGTAGGGGTCTGGCGTTGTCACCATTGACTTCAGGGCATAAGAGAACCCTGTAGACAAGATTTCATCAAAATCAAAAATGGTCGGGTGTAAATCTGATAAAATTTTGGTCGATCTATCGTGGAATGCCCCCTATATGAACTGGACCCAGGGTGCTCGCCAAGAAGACCAATGTCTCCATCCTATCATCCTTCCGGCTCTGAAATGGTCTTGTCAGACCGAAAGGGCATAGCCCAACAAAACAAACTGAATTCGTTATCTGGCTGCGTGGTGTAGTGGTTAGCGCACTAACCTCGCATACAAATGACACGGGGTTCGCATCCCATCGCCGGCTGATGCTTTTGGCGTGTTGTCCCAGTAAACGTGCCGACGTCGGCGACCCTTAGAATTTGTGACGTCAGCGCCAGCGGTGATCTAACGATTTTAAAACATTATACTAACATCTTTGTGAAGCGGTGGTGGTATATGCTATTTGCGCGCAACATCTGCCGCAAACGCCGCACTTTCAAATAAAGTCGCTAGGAACAGCGGAGATCCCAAAAAAAGTAAACAAAAGTAAAAGTCTAATATCTTGAAAACCGGTGAATATTTTTCGGTGAAATTTGGTAGATATTCGTTTTTGCTCTTTCTGAACCGAGCGACATCACTTTCATGCCAATTCATTAACTTTTTTGAAGGTGGCAGCCAGGAGGGTCCCTTTTTAACCCTCGCCCGTAAACGGCGATCTGCCACCTTCGCCCATGCAGGGGGGGGGGGGGTTGGTGCGACCCCCCCCCCTTGGCGTTTGAAAACGGAGCGTCGTAGAGCTTAGCGGAAAAGACCAACGGATTGCTCTCGCCGAAATCTCGCGATTGGTGGTATATTTTTTGGTCCTAGGTCAACATTTGACCTACTTTTGACCGGTCAAAGGTCAAATTTTCGGGAAAATAGACTTTTTCAAATTTTCCGCGGCGATTGTGGCAAAACGGTGGGAGATATCGACTTGAAACCTTCACTATCGTATTCCTTGATCAATTCTCTATCGTTTGGTATGTATTTCGTTTCCCTAGCTCTAAAAATGGCGCGTTGGGAGCGCCGGAAGTCGGCAAGGTCACAGTCGGCGGCAGAAATTCGAAAAATCAAAATTTAAATTTTTGAAATCTGATTGTATTTTTGGATTTGGGATGTCCATTTGCTCCCTATAATAGCTAATATTGCTGCATATTCCCATTGAGCTGACAAGAATTAGCAAAATAGTGGTTCGGGCGCTTTTCAAAAATAGTACCGGACGCTGTTCCTCTTGTGACGTCATAGCTCCGTGACCTGACCTGACCCGGTCAAGTTTCTTATACCATATGATAGCCAATACTTGCCCCAACATGCATGGGAAGTTTCATCACGATCCATCAACCGATGTCCGTACCACCGGCAGGAAACCTCGGGCGTTGGCACTCAGTTTGTGAAAATCCGGCCGGAGGCTGTTCCCTTTGTGACGTCATAACTCCGTGACCTGACATGACCCGGTCAAATTTTTTTGATCAAAAGATGCGCAAGGTTTGCCCCATAAGGTACCCAAAATTTGGCGGCGCTCAAATTGCCAGCATTTTATGTGGAATTTGGTGCTTTACATGCCTGCTACATAAAAGTTTTAAAAATATATACATGCATATTATTTATTATTTTTCATCGCTGTCTCTTAGCACCCCAATGTGGGGTGTTAAGGGACACCTATATTATTCCAAGAAATGGTCATCAAATGCCCAAAATTGGGGTGTGAAAGGGCACACAATTTATTTATTGGAATGTTTTGCATATTCTGTCACAAAACAAGTCAGGATCATTCACCACTAATGGCCTTTTTAGCCAATTACATGTAATGCAGTTTACGCTTGTATTTATATTTATTTTTTAGTATTTATTCAACAGACCGTCAACAGGCACTTGCCCCACTAAAAGACGGAGTCACAAGACGTTTGGAAAATGTGCCAATTATAAGGTAAACAGAACCAAAAAGTACCCTTCTGTCATCAACAAAAAAAAAACAATTTTGAAGCTAGTCACTTGTCATTATGTTGCCCTCTTTGTTTTGGCCTTTTTATGATAACATCACCAGACATGTGCACGGATCCCAGACAACCAATCACGGAAATCGAGATGGCCATTAGATTGACGGTCTTCAAGCATGAAATTATGGTGGAAACATGGCTCATAGAAGCCTCTCAATGAACCAACTATTTTGCATTCCTTCAGGGTTAACAGTTCTGAGAAAATCCCTCAAGATCCATCTCGGATCCATGATTCGCGGCCATGGATCCGAGATGGATCTTGAGGGATTTTCTCAAAACTGTGAACTCTGAGGGAATGCAAAATAGTTGGTTCGTTGAGAGGCATCTATTAGCCATGTTTTCCACCATAATTCCATGCTTGAAGTCCACTAATCTAGTGGCCATCTTGATTTTCGTGTTTGGTCATCTGGGATCTGTGCCCATGTCTGAACATCACATTTACCTACATCAGTCTTCATTGACCTATCGTTGTAAAAGAGAGTGTTAAGGGAGTTTTGAGGTGTTTTGTTATATAGCTTAAGATGTGTTAGAGATGGAAGCATGAACATGCCAGCATTTTATGTGGAATTTGGTGTTTTCCATGCCTACTGAAAGAAAACTTTATGAAATTATATTTAGATATTATTTTTTATTTTTTCTTCCCTGTCCCTTAGTACCCCACATCCACCTCAAAATATGCATGTCCGGAAAAGAGGAAAAGGATGATGAATGAATGGGTGGATTTGTATAAGTTTTTCAGGAAACATGTGCAATACATGTGACAATACACCTATGCATTCATTTTACCTGTACACCTACTAGTTTATGCAGTACACACAGAGTTTTGGAGATTTCGCAATTTTGTGAAAATGTAGCATGATTTTAAAAACCATATTTGAACCAAATCACTTGCATGAAAAAACGTGCCATTTTGTCCTATAGGTACCAGGAAGTCAAGAACAAAACAGTGTCAACTACCACACTCAAGTTTTATTTAACCTTCTCAAATTGGGAACTTAACATGACTCAAAGTTGTTCCCACACAACTGTCCCTCATCACTCCACTGTCCCTTAACACCCCATTTTACGGTACCTATCTAGTCCCAAAACATGCATGGAACTAATCTGAATCTGTATCAGGAAGAAACCACATGTTAAAATTGGTCAACATTTGATTTTCTCAGGTTCAGTTTTTGCCCGCTTTGCTCGCTAAAAAATGTGCTTCTTCAAAAGCCGTACGTGGAGCCAGAGTCCTTTCGGAAAAAAACAACTATAGATGCAGAAGTCTCAAACCAGATACTCTACAATTGAAAGCATTGACCTCACCCATGCAGAAAGACAGATACTTAATTCATGTAGCTGAATAACCGAAATTTTACTTCAGTAGCTTATTTTTTAACAAAACCAAACCAAAACACATTATAAGACATGCGGCATAACCGACGCGACACAGAAAACAGGTACCCGCAAACAAAGCTGTACTTGAATAAATGGGCAACGCCTAAAAATATCGACAAACGCGAGAAATACTAAAAATTAATTAATTCAAGCTGACTTATTTCCCCCAAAAATAAAAAATAAATCAACATATCATCGGGGATTTACAACACGCCCCGCGCCAGTTTTGTATCAAAATTATTTCATGCCGCATGGCTAACGCGCAAGACTCACAGCCACTATATTATAATCCCGCACTCAAGGCCCCGTCAAATTTTATTAAGTTTGGAAGACCAGCTCCCCTGGTGTTTTCCCATTGCTTGTTGGCCCAATAAGAAGTGTGCAAAATTTCAGCTTCCTAGCTCAACGTTTGCGTCTGCCTCAAAGGCCTCGAAGTTTGCCTCATAGGGCATAATGGAGACTGCAATGCCGGTGTTAGCTCTTAGCTGCATTGTCCTGGCAGCGGCGTTCATTGGTACAATATCGCCACGAATCAACTGCTGCCCAAGCAAGAGATGAACAAAACTAGTCTTTGCCATCGCCCCCCTCCCCCACCCACACCCCTCCCCCTCCTTAACCACCACCCCCACCCCCCGGCCCCCACCCACGATTTTGTAATGCATCGTTTAATTTCCACACATTGTTCACGATCACTTTATCTGTTTTCAGGATGCCTAAATGCTGATTGAGGCAAATATATTAGTACCTAGCTTTAACATGCATGTGCATATGTATAATAATTTCGACTCAATACTGCGGCGGCGGCAAACAGATACTACGAACGGCAACAGCACTCAGCAGCAGGAGACTAAGACGGCGGGCACGGCACTGCAGTGACGGTGACGGGTACCGGTGTCACCCACTACATATAATGGTCGAGTCTGCGTGTCCGGTGTCGTGGCTTACCTACAAGCACGAAGGTTTTCTTGCGCAGCTTTTTGGAAAACTCTGCAGTGCGGTCTAGGAGGGAACTCCGCAATTTAAATTTTTAAAAACACGTCATTTCTTTCCATGCAACGACAATATTAGGACGCCTTTAGGGCCCAAAGGGGGCGCCCCAAATTTAAAGGTACAGGACAATGGGCTTGACCTGAATGGCCGCGTATGCTGGATACGGCTTTGCTCTGAAGGCTGAGGGGCGCCTTGTTTTTTCTTCAATCAATTGGGCGCCCAATCACCTGTGATCTTTAATGGGGCGCCTGCTACCTACGCTTTGCAGATCAGCATCCGTGGTGTTACTTGTGTGCCGAGTGCTCTGCCCCCTGGAAGGGGCACCATCGTTCAGAGGGGCGCCGAATGTTCTTGAGAGGTGCCAGTAATATTGAATGGGGGCGCCGAATGTTCTTGAGAGGTGACAGTAATATTGAATGGGGGCGCCGCCGGATGTTCTGAATGGGACGCCAGCGATAATGAATGGGGCGCCCACTCGCCTGTGAACTTCAATGGGGTGCCTGATACGTTTTAGAGACGTGTCGGTGGTGTTGAATGGCGTGCCGAGTGATCAAGAAGGGGCGACATTTTTTCGGAAGGGACACGTCATATACTCTGGATGGTGCGCATATAATACTGACAGGGGCGATGGCGGGATCTGAAAGGGCGCCACAGGGATTTATGTTAAGTATGCAATCCACTACCAGCTTCTGTTGCGTTGGAGGTTTGTGTGGGGCGCCGGTGCATGGGTCGTGGGTATTGGTAGTGCTGAAGCGCGCCTTATATACGTACGTTATCCGGTGCCCGGCGCCAGACGGCGCCGAGCACCGGACAGCTGAAAGGGCGCCACTTTGCCAGAGGGGGGGCTACTCCCGCCGCCCCCTGGATCCGCGCCTACAGTATTAAAGGGACCCTCCCACCTTCAAAAAAGTTTATGAATTGGCATGAAAGTGATGTCGCTCGGTTCAGAAAGAGCGAAAATGAATATATACCCAATTTCACCGAAAAATATTCACCGGTTTTCAAGATATTAGACTTTTACTTTTGTTTACTTTTTGGGATCTCCGCTGTTCCTAGCGACTTTATTTGGAAGCAATAGTTTGGCAGCTGAAAGTGCGGCACTTGTTGCGCGCAAAGCGGCATATACCAACGCGTGCTACAAAACGTCTTAGTCAAACACTTAAAAATCGTTACCTAGATATCTGCGTTGACGTCACACATTCAGAGGGGTATTCCTATGCATTAGCCCCTCTGAATCAAAATGCTGCAATTTTGAAATTCAATATTTCCGATTTAAGGCATTTCTCGGTGTTGTGAGTGCCGAAACCGGTAATTGTGAGCCAGGGACCCCATTTTGGCTATCTCAACTCAAATCTTATGTTAAGGTGGGAGGGTCCCTTTAACCCGCGCCCCACTGGGGGGGGGCTATTTATAGCCCCCCCCCTACCGTTTTTCTGCAATAACTTCCAAACCGCTTGACGTATCGACGCCAAACTTTCAGTACCTTAGGCTGCATCAATTTGACACCTTGTGTCAAAATTTGAACTTCGTACCTACTATAGGTCGGCCGGAAATGACGTCAGAGTGACGTCATGTTCGGCCGATTTCGACGCAAAACATTGAACCACGGCAATCGCTCCCAAGAGCTCAATTTTTAAGCTAGATCCAATTTCTTTGCATGAGGGGACTCAGAATAGACTGCGCTATCAAACTGCTATCTCAGATTTTTGAAATTTTGAAAATTTCGAAAATTTTATATAATAATATCCAAAATTTATATTTTTAGTTTTTTTTCAAAAAAAATTGACTTTTCGAAAAAAACCGGAATATATGTGATAGAATGCATTATTATGACTAACTCTAGCAAGTTTTAGCTAAATATCTTCAAAAATGGCCAAGTTTTACGCATTATTGCAAAAAATTCACAATTATTAATTTTTCAAATCAATTTTTCAGCACGTATTTGACATCGTACGCCAATATAAATAGCACCATCGTGTTCCTGAGCTCAAACTGCATCCAATAGACACCTTTTTTGTTGAAAAAGTTTAACTTCAAAATTTGACCTTTTTTGACCTGAAAGTGACCTAACATAAGCTAAATTCGACTCAAAATGACCTCGAATGACACAGACGACATCAAATTCGAAATCTCTGACCTAAATGGACCATAAAACATGTGTCACGTGACCGACGCATGATATAGTATTTTCGTGACCTGTGATAACCTGACCTTGACCTGAAAATCAAAGTACAAGTTTGGTACCCTCAGGGTAAATAGAGCATCTGTTCCCGAGTGTGTGATCCAAAAATGAGCCTGATCTGACTTGTAAGACGGCGGCCAGAGCCCAAAACGTGAACAAGCCAAAATGCTAATAATTTTTACTTTGACCTGACCTGTGACGTCATCGGTGACCTCGAGGTCAATGAAATAAGGTTTCGCTCGACAGTTTTTCCGGGGCTATCAGACGCCGTTTGAATTTTGACGATCGCCCAGTAGTTTCGGAGTTAGGAGGGGGGGGCTATGAATAGCCCCCCCCCCCCAGTAGGGCGTGTTATACGCAGACCCCAGTGGGGCGCGGGTTAAATGCGCACCATCCAGAGTATATGACATGTCCCTTCCGAAAAAATGTCGCCCCTTCTTGATCACTCGGCACGCCATTCAACACCACCGACACGTCTCTAAAACGTATCAGGCACCCCATTGAAATTCACAGGCGAGTGGGCGCCCCATTCATTATCGCTGGCGTCCCATTCAGAACATCCGGCGGCGCCCCCATTCAATATTACTGTCACCTCTCAAGAACATTCGGCGCCCCCATTCAATATTACTGGCACCCACTGGCGGATCCAGACTTGCGTTTTGGGGGGGGGGGGCCAACTCATGCAGGAGCCAAACCTAGGGTACCCCCAAATCCTGTTTTCTCATCGGATTTAGGCCACTTATTTTTCGTCACAGCCCTGACACTATGAATATTTTTTTTTAACTAAAAATAGAAATATATAAATGGTAGCCCACCCGACCCATGCCTTTATATTACTTTGTAAACACTTACTATTGCTTTTGTCGACCAGTTAACCCGCTTCGAGTCAGTGCTTGGGTCCCTTTGCGGGCCGGGAGGTGGTAAAACGGGAGGTGGTCTAACTCGGCTCCTGGGCCAGGCACTGATTGAACTGTGCTTCATTATCGCTTGAGGGAGGGGGCAAACGGGCCACTTTAGGCCTCTGGGAAGGGGGCATGGCCCTAAATGCCCCCTCCCTGGATCCGCCAGTGTAAGAGACCATTGGAGCTGCAGTTGAGTACCTCAGACGTCAGGGTATGTCCTCAGATGTATAGGACTCGCATGGAGACCTCTTATGCTATAGTGGACTGAAAGGACCCAAAGGAGCCTGTCTAGGGCTCCCGGAGATAGACGTGGGCCCTCAGGAGCCCGCCAGAGCCCCCAATGAGGGATAAGTGAGGGATACCAAGTGCCTGCAATTGCATATTGCATAAGCCATAACGCCATTACAAATCAATATAATATGTACCAGTGGCAGATCCAAGGGGGGCCACATGGGTCATGACCCCCCTTGGTGCCCGGGGGCACCACAGGCCTGTCAGGGGCACCACCGGCCTAGCAGGGGCACTACCAGCCCGCCAGGGGCACCACAGGCCTAACAAGGGCACCACGGGCCTGTGAGGGGCCCCACAGGCTAGGCTTGTCAGGGGCACCCCAGGTCTGTCAGGGACACCAGAGACCTGCCAGGGGCGCCGCCGGCCTTGCAGGGGCACCATGGGCCTGTCAGGGGCACCAGAGGCCTAGCAGGTGTACTACAGGCCTTACAGGGGCACCTTGGGCCTGTCAGGGGCACCACAGTCCTGTCAGGGCCCAGGGGCACCAGCGGCCTAGCAGGGGCACCACAGGCCTGCCAGGGGCACCACCGGTCTAGCAGGGGCACCACCGGCCTCGCAGGGGCACCATGGGCCTGTCAGGGGCCCCACCGACCTCGCAGGGGCACCACCGGCCTCGCAGGCATCACGGCATCACGCAGGGGCACCTTGGGCCTGTCGGGG